TACAGGGCTCACGCTGTCGGTCGCCATAGTCGCCATTTGCGATTATTTTATAAGATTGGCGATTATTTTTGCATTTTGGCCACAAAATCTGGCGATTATTTTTTACTTCCAACAGTGTTTATATAAGGTGTAAAATGCAGTAGACCCAATTAACACCAGTGGGGTGGATTTAATTGAGTGTCAACATTTTATCGGTCACGTGCTGCTTACCATATTGCCCGAGGTGATAAAAATACATGCAAGATGTAAAATTGTATAAGTACTTTAAAGATATTGTCCAGCATTATAATAGCCATCAAGTATCCGTCAATTAGCCAAAAAGACCGTCTTAAAATTGATAAACTGGATATTGACCAACCCAAAATTTACGGGAAATTTACCGTACATTGCAGTAATGGCAAATTTTGTAATTTTTCGTTTTAAGGTACTTGACTAAATCGCCAGTGGAAAACAATGATAAAATATTTAGAAAGTATTAACTTCCAAACAACTATTTGCACAACAACCAAAATTGTGAGTATTTCTTCAGAAAACAGGAAAAAATCCGATTGTCATATATTTTCGCGACACCGATAATTTTGATATTTATTTAAAGGTGAAAATAAGCTATGTTCTGTTTAAAAATCTTTACTATTATGGCAGAAAATTTGTAACACATTGGTGATGATGACATTTTCAGTAAGTTATTCAGAAAAAAGGCTGCATTCTGTGAATGAGTTTGCAAGTGTTATTTTTAGCTCGACTATTCGAAGAATATGAGAGCTATTGTAGTCGCCCCGGCGTCGGCGTCAGCGTCCGCGTCGGCGTCTGCGTTGGTTAAAGTTTTTTGTAAAGTCAAATATCTCAATTATTACTTGAGATATTCAATTGAAACTTACAATACTTACTTATAGTAACAAGGTACATCAGATTGACAAGTTGGATAACTCTGCCTACAATATTGACAGAATTATGCCCCTTTTTAACTTAGAAATTTTGGTTAAAGTTTTTTGTAAGGTCAAATATCTCAATTATTGCTTGAGATATTCAATTGAAACTTACAATACTTATTTATAGTAACAAGGTACATCATATTGACAAGTTGGATAACTCTGCCTACAATATTGAAAGAATTATGCCCCTTTTTAACTTAGAAATTTTGGTTAAAGTTTTTTGTAAAGTCAGATATCTCAATTATTGCTTGAGATATTCAATTGAAATTTAAAATCCTTTTTTATAGTAACAATGTACATCAGTTTGAAAAATTGCATAACTCTGCCTGCAATATTTGCAGAATTATTTGCCCCTTTGAAACTTAGAAATTTTGGTTAAAGGTTAAAAGTCTTCAAAGATATTTACTTGAAACTTTACACATGCACTTAGGGTCATAATTGGAGGGTCATAATTATATGTCACTGACCAAGTTCCATAACTCTATCTTGCATTAAGGCTGATTCATATCCCCTTTTCTACTTAGTCTCTTGGTTAATGTTTACATGCAAGTTTTACATATCTCAATAACTATTAAAGGTATTTATTTAAAACTTCACATATGCATTTAGGGTCATAATTGTAGGTCACTGACAAAGATCCATAATTCTATCTTGCATTTAGGCTGATTTTTCTCCCCTTTTTCAACTTAGAAATTCATGGTAAAGTTTTGCTTGTAAGCTGTTATCTCAATAACTACTGAAGGGTTTGTGCCTTTTTTGGGACAATTTTATGCATTCATAATAATAAAGCAGTGATTTACTTGATAAAACATCTTAATAACAAGCCTTTGTACCTTTTCTGTCAAATTTATGTATTCATAGGTAATTAGTATTATTACACTAAATAAAACACCCTTGTGACATTACCTTCCGAATAGTCAAGCCAATACTGTATAATTAGAGTCTCTCTAAGGCCTATAACATGAATTTATAAAAAAAAATTAGCCCTTTTGTGAACTTAAAAAATTTAACATTATCAAGGCTCTTTTACTATCAAGCACTTAGAATAGTCGAGCATGCTGTCCTACCGACAGCTCTTGTTATAGGCTAATATGACCTAGATCTACTCCAGTTCTGTGTGAAATGTGGAAATTGACAGGGGTTATAGCTGACAAAATTTGATTAGAACAAACAAAAGAAATTGTCTGATAATAGCATTATGTAAATTCATAATGAATCTTTAATATTATTGATATACTGTAATTATACTATATAACATTTTTATTCTGTTCTATAATAACAATTTAAGTTGTGGGTCTATTTAAAAAAAGGTAGTTATCAATATATACACAAATGTATCAGTTTATTTGAGAATCCTTATAAAACTGAAAAAGTTTTATATGTAATGTTTAATTAATCAACTGCTTATGTTGTTAATCGCTAAATCGTGAATAGTCCGCTGAACTTTTGGCTATTATTATTTTAAGTTAAAAATATTGGCTATTATTTTATTTGAGCCAGTGTGAGCCCTGCATATAGTAAAGAAAAAATCTTTTAAAAAACCCAAATTAACATGTATTATGACTCAGGCGGGCGATTTAGGGCCACCATGGCCCTCTTGTTTGATTTATATTACATCAGTGGGTATTGGGAAGTAGAGAAATTATGCCATTTGCATTCAATGTAACAGTCCAATGGACATGTACATGTAAATGTGAGTTCTATAGAGTGTTAATGTTTGATAATTTTGAGTATTTAACAATATTTGTGCTTAAATAGTTTGCCAAACATGTATATTTTTTTCTGATTGTTTGTATGAAACTTTAAGAAGTCATTTTAAAAGGTGATAGATAATTGATCAGTTGACACACTTTGAGTTTTCTTTAATTAAAATTGATTTTATTATCAATAATACATTTGTATATTAATCAATCTTCCTACAGTAACTGTCAGATTTGTTTTAATGGGAGTATTAAGTGGCATCCTTTGGATTTAAAGCTGCTGTACATCTAGACTGAAACTATGATTTTTTATCAAACCAGGACAATTTTTATCGGTCATTTCTTAAAATCTGATCTGATATTCTCTAGATAAATAAACATAGAAATTAAAATACTTACATGGGTCTTCTTTATCTGACAGGTACATTCTCTGGCAGTACAATGTACATGTAGCAGATAAAGTAGTTACCTGAAATAACAAAATACAATGAAAATAACCTTATTAACTGTACATCAGTAATAGATGACTCGGCAGACTATTAGTCAGACTAGTCACTATTGTTACTAATAATGCACCAGAAAAGGTGCATAACTGATAAAATAAATAATAAAGTTACCCGCCCTTTAGAAATGCAATTCAGTTTATTGTTTAAAAATGTAACAAGTATTCCAAATTTGAAGTGATTAACTTTGATATTTTTGATTTTTTTTTTGATAAATTGACCATAGAAGAAAAGAATTAAGTTAAAAAAAGGGGCATAACCTTGCAAAAATGAATTTTAAGATTATGTGCCCTTCCGAAATGTTGTCATATTTTCATAGTGAACATGTATATCAAGTTTGAAGAGAAAAGCTTTCATACATATAGTTCCGAAGAAAATAGACCTTAACAAAAAGGTAAACCAGAGCTAAAAGAGTTTAAAAAAGGGCATTTCTTTGCAAAAAAAATAATTTTAGGATTATATGCCCTTTTGAAATAGTGCCCTTTCATGACAATAAACATGTAAACCATGTTTGAAGTGAATAGCTTTTATAGTTTCTGAGAAAATGGACCTTAATAAAAAAAGGTAACCAACACTGATGCCAACACCGAATGAGGGTCTGGGGTCCTTACAATTGCTTCACTTTTTTTTCTTAGAAAAGTGGAGCTAAATATGTAGGTAAAAGCTGGAAATTCATCATCTAACATTTATTGTGAAATTGCATCTCTATTACTTAATAAATTTCCTGATTTTTAGTATCATGTAGACTTGAGTGGTGACCTTCCTTGAAATGTTATGACTGTAAATGAAACAAACTCTGTAAATGAAACAAACACTGTGATAAGGGTTCCCTAGAGGCTAATGTCATTACAGACAAATGCATAATTAATTGACATTATACAGTTAAGGTCTGCCAATTTTCTGAGGTTATTTTGGTTTTCTATCCAGCATTAAAGCATATTCCAACAGCAGGAAATTTCAGAACATCTGTTTTAAAGATAATGATTTTATTGATTAAGAGGCTATTTATAGAGAAGCTATGCTGATCTAACTTGCAGTGACAGATAAGGGTATAAAAATAACTCCACCTGCTGAATTTGTGTAATATACTTGATCTCGAATAGGGAGAGCTACTTACTTTAGTGAAGTGTATGGTACTTGCAATATTGCATCTGCTTGAATGTTAGTGTCACATCTTTCTCACAAAAAAAAACAAAACAACTTTGCTTTTTCTTTGAAATAAAGAAAAATGTTTATGCTTCTTAACATGGAATATTTTGCTCCACTTCATGTGGAAGAAAAGAAAAGATTTCTATTTGGACAAAATAATGTCCTGTTTTAGACTTAAAATTAAGATTTAGGTTTTCATACTTTTTTTTCTCCACCATTTGAGATTTTATTTTTAAATCTTAAATACTCAATTTAACTTATATATCATATAAATTTGACGTTAAACCCATTCATAGGTGAACATTCATAACATAACAACAACATAAACGTTTATTCATGTCAGGCTCATATACAGAACAACATGACAGAAAATAAAGTTTTAAACATTTTAAACATAAATCTTCGTATATTATGATATAATTACAGGGATTAAAAAACACAACATAACAACTTGTTCTTATTTTACTATTTATGATAGTGAATAGTAAAGGGATGCTATACTGTAGTCGGGTTTTGTTTATGACTAGGTATTTAAGAATGGTGAAATAAAACAGTAATTTGTAAACAAGTTGATAAGATTGCACATACTGGCAGATTTGCTGCCAATATTATTGATGGCATAGGGATATTATTTTTGCCTCTTGTTCTCAAATGATAAATACCAGATAAAACTGTATTTCTGTAATGCTATTGTGATAAACAAAGATAATGGAAAGATCAGCACCATATGTTTGTTTTCTGTCATTCTCAATACATGTATATGGTAACATGTAGAAATAGAACTGTCAGTGGTAACTTGTTTATAGTAACTTGTTAACAAGCATGGGATGGACACTTGGTACATGTATATAGTTGTCATGGAATAATATGGATTAGTATGCTTTCTGCAAAACAGAGAGTTAAATTTGAAACAGTTGTGAGTTTCTAGTTTGCTGTTTGATGAAAGCTTAAGTTATAAAGTTTATACATGTTAATGTAATATGTTAAAGTTTTTTTAGCATTGATGCTTTATATTTATTTAATGCTGCTTTAATGGTTCTACACTATATTGATGTTGGAATTAAATTTAGATTGTCCATCTATTCATCCTACTGTATGTATGTAGAACAGTTTGTGTGGTATGTACACGTAACACCAAAAGTATAACTGCTAGAGCAATGAAACTTCCATCAATTGTTGAAAATTGATAATTTATCCAAAAACAATTAAAATTTTATGTTTAACACTGACTGATCTTGGTTTGTGCTGGTCTCATTGGTAGAATCAGCATAGGGCTAGAGTTTTGTCCACTGATAGGGTATTTAAAGTAGTGCTGCATGTAACTCCAAAAATATAGATGTTACTTTCTAAGAATAATTGTCACAAGTTAACTCACACAAATGTTTGTTTTGACCCAAAACTATTTGCTAATAAGTTTCATGTATACTAAAGGGATTCCACTGAAGTTTTTGGACGTGACAGAACTGGAATAACTTTTCTAGATTAATATTCCATTTGATTTAGGTCTAGATCAATAACTTGTGTGCAAAATTGCAGATTTTTGCTCACGCTGTTTTTCCAAAATAATGACTCTACTTTTGAATAGAATCACACAATGCAATGTGATTTTAATTTTTTTTTTGTATTTTCTGATCGTAAGATCAGTAAATACATAGCTATCATCCACGGTCTAACACAAAATTTCCTGACAGTCCTAACAATGCAAAGTAGTTCTCACTCAAAACTGCTTAAAAACCAGCAATTTAAAAGAAAGAATAATTTTTAATGTAGGCATTTAACAAATTACAGTGCATTAAAAGTTTAGATTAGTCAATAGAAATATGAGGTTACAATCACAAATTTCGCGGATGAATATCTTTTTTACCCAATGAAAAATGTTCGGCTATTTCCGTAAAACTTCGGATTATCATGAATATCATTTTAATCAATGAAAATGCTATTTTTAGCTATGTCGATTAAATGAATACTCCAGAGCGTAGTACACAAATAAATCTGACTGTCGAGTAGTGGAATATATACATGTCGGACTGTTTTGGCGAGAAGATTTTCGCTAAATTATTTTCATCAGTGTTAAACAACAGGTTAATCGTGAACAAAATACCTCGAAATTAATAAGGATTGCAAACACGAAATGGAAATTCTCAATTTAGAATTACATAATGTATTCGTTTTTATTCAAGGTACATATGTATTACTTCGCCGTGGTGCAGAGGTAAGCGGTCTCTTTGAGGGTGTGAGAGGCCTATGGCTCAAATCCTAGTCGAGGCAATTCTATTTTTTTTCATGCAAAATTCCATATGTATCAATCTCAAACTGTTATAGAAGAAAATCAAAACGCTGTCGCTGCGTAAGATGAATTATAGTATATAAAAATAAACTTATACAGGAAAGTACATACAGATAGTCAGTACGATTTAGATTGATACCATAGAGCTGCAGCCCTTTGATTAGTATATTTCTTTACTATCTTATGCATATCTTTCTGTTTTAAGGGCACCTGAGATCTTTCTACAACAATAAAGCTGGAACATTGTCATTATGACATATGACCTGTGTTGGTGCTACATACCACCCACCAAAAAGAAAAAGAAAAAAAGAATAAAATAATAATAAAAAATAGGATAAATGTCCCAGCTCATCTATTTGAGAAATTTAAATTTTATGTTTTTAGATTTTTTTTTGAGTTTTGTTAAGAATTTCAAGAAAAATGGGTCCTTTAAACAACTGTAAAAGATCCATTTAATAAAAATACAACTTTATAATGGGATTATATTGATGTTTTGGTAACAATCTCATAAAAGTTATAATAAGAAGTAAAATGTAACATGAATCATGACATGCTGGAATCAGTGGTGAATCACTACAGTTCATTGTTAATAGTAAATGTTGTGGTTAGCTGAAATAGAAAGCAGGCAGTTTGATTCTTGACTGGTTGAAATAATTATATAATTGCCTGATGATACAAATGTTATGATATAATAAGGTAAAATCTGTGTATATTTCAGACTGATATGGCTCGATGACGGAGCTGGTGTCATTCAGTATCCAGCGTGAAGTACAGCTGAGGTTTCTCTCACCAGCCGATATACCAGAGGTGAAGAAACTATGCGCAGAATGGTTCCCAATAGAGTAAGTTTCATATCACTCCTTACTTAATTATATTTGATATGCAATTAATTATGTTTTTTTAGCTCACCTGACCACGAAGTGGTCATGGTGAGGTATAGTGATGGGGCTATGTCCGGCGTCCGTCGTCGTGCGTTGTGCGTCGTGCGTCGTGCGTCGTGCGTTGTGCGTCGTTCGTCGTCAACAATTGGGTTGTTAACAGTCTAGCAGTCACAGTTTTGATTGGATCATCATCAAACTTTGTCAGAATGTTTGTCTCAATGAAATACAGATCGAGTTCGAAGATGGGTTATCTCGGGTCAAAAACTAGGTCACAGGAGCTAAAAATAGAAAAAGCTTGTTAACACTCTAGAGGCTGCAGTTTTCATCCAAATATTCTGGAAATTTGTCAGGAAGGTTGTTTTGATGATATCTAGGTCAAGTTCGAAGATGGGTCATCTCTGGTCAAAAAACTAGGTCACGAGCTAAAAATAGAAAAAGCTTGTTAACACTCTAATAATTGGGTTGTTAACAGTCTAGCAGTCACAGTTTTGATTGGATCATCATCAAACTTTGTCAGAATGTTTGTCTCAATGAAATACAGATCGAGTTCGAAGATGGGTTATCTCGGGTCAAAAACTAGGTCACAGGAGCTAAAAATAGAAAAAGCTTGTTAACACTCTAGAGGCTGCAGTTTTCATACAAATATTCTGGAAATTTGTCAGGAAGGTTGTTTTAATGATATCTAGGTCAAGTTCGAAGATGGGTCATCTCCGGTCAAAAACTAGGTCACAGGAGCTAAAAATAGAAAAGCTTGTTAACACTCTAGTGGCTGCAGTTTTCATCCAAATATTTTGGAAATTTGTCAGGAAGGTTGTTTTTATGATATCTAGGTCAAGTTCGAAGATGGGTCATCTCCGGTCAAAAACTAGGTCACAGGAGCTAAAAATAGAAAAAGCTTGTTAACACTCAAGTGGCCGCAGTTTTCATCCAAATATTCTGGAAATTTGTCAGGAAAGTTTGTTTTGATGGTTTCTAGGTCAAGTTCAAAGATGGGTCATCTCCGGTCAAAAACTAGGTCACAGGAGCTAAAAATAGAAAAAGCTTGTTAACACTCTATAGGCTGCAGTTTTCATCCAAATATTCTGGAAATTTGTCAGGAAGGTTGTTTAGATGATATCTAGGTCAAGTTTGAAGATGGATCATGTCTGGTCAAAAACTAGGTCACAGGAGCTAAAAATAGAAAAAGCTTGTTAACACTCTAGTGGCTGCAATTTTCATCCAAATATTTTGGAAATTTGTCAGGAAGGTTGTTTTGATTTTATCTAGGTCAAGTTCGAAGATGGGTTATCACCGGTCAAAAACTAGGTCACAGGAGCTAAAAATAGAAAAAGCTTGTTAACACTCTATAGGCTGCAGTTTTCATCCAAATATTCTGGAAATTTGTCAGGAAGGTTGTTTAGATAATATCTAGGTCAAGTTTAAAGATGGATCATGTCTGGTCAAAAACTAGGTCACAGGAGCTAAAAATAGAAAAAGCTTGTTAACACTCTAGTGGCTGCAGTTTTCATCTAAATATTCTGGAAATTTGTCAGGAAGGTTGCTTAGATAATATCTAGGTCAAGTTCGAAGATGGGTCATCTCCGGTCAAAAACTAGGTCACAGGAGCTAAAAATAGAAAAAGTTTGTTAACACTCTAGTGGCTGCAGTTTTCATCCAAATATTCTGGAAATTTGTCAGGAAGGTTGTTTTGATGATATCTAGGTCAAGTTGGAAGATGGGTAATGTCCGGTCAAAAACTAGGTCACAGGAGCTAAAAATAGAAAAAGCTTGTTAACACTCTAGTGGCTGCAGTTCTCATCCAAATATTCTGGAAATTTGTCAGGAAGGTTGTTTTGATGATATCTAGGTCAAGTTGGAAGATGGGTCATGTCCGGTCAAAAACTAGGTCACAGGTGCTAATAATAGAAAAAGCTTGTTAACACTCTAGTGGCTGCAGTTTTCATCCAAATATTTTGGAAATTTGTCAGGAAGGTTGTTTTGATGATTTTCAGGTCAAGTTCGAAGATGGGTTATCACCGGTCAAAAACTAGGTCACAGGAGCTAAAAATAGAAAAAGCTTGTTAACACTCTAGTGGCTGCAGTTTTGATTAAAATATTCTGGAAATTTGTCAGGAAGGTTGTTTTAATGATTTCTAGGTCAAGTTCGAAGATGGGTCATGTCTGGTCAAAAACTAGGTCACAGGAGCTAAAAATAGAAAAAGCTTGTTAACACTCTAATGGTTGCAGTTTTCATCCAAACATTCTGGAATTTTGTCAGAAAGGTTGTTTTGATGATTTCTAGGTCAAGTTCGAGGATGGGTCATCTCAGGTCAAAAACTAGGTCACAGGAGCTAAAAATAGAAAAAGCTTGTTAACACTCTAATGGCTGCAGTTTTCATCTAAATGTTCTGGAAATTTGTCAAGAAGGTTGTTTTGATGATATCTAAGTCAAGTTCGAAGATGGGTCATCTCCGGTCAAAAACTAGGTCACAGGAGCTAAAAATAGAAAAGCTTGTTAACACATTAGGGGCTGCAGTTTTTCATCCAAATATTCTTGAAATTTGTCAGGAAGGTTGTTTTGATGATGTCTAGGTCAAGTTCGAAGATGGGTTATCTCCGGTCAAAAACTAGGTCACAGGAGCTAAACATAGAAAAAGCTTGTTAACACTCTAGTGGCTGCAGTATTGATTCAAATATTCTGGAAATTTGTCAGGAAGGTTGTTTTGATGATTTCTAGGTCAAGTTCGAAGATGGGCCATCTCAGGTCAAAAACTAGGTCACAGGAGTTAAAAATAGAAAAAGCTTGTTTACACTCTAGTGGCTGCAGTTTTTATTCAAATATTCAGGAAATTTGTCAAGAATGTTGTTTTGATGTTTTCTGGGTCAAGTGCTAAGATTGGTCATGTCTGGTCAAAAACTAGGTCACAGGAGCTAAAAATAGAAACATCTTTTTAACACTCTAGTGGCTGCTGTTTTGATCCAAATTTCCTGGAAATTGGTCAGGAAGGTTGTTTTGATGATTTCTAGGTCAAGTTTGAATATGGGTCGTGTCCAGTCAAAAATTAGGTCACATTGCCCAAATATGGAAAAATCTTTATAACACACTAGAGGTCACATGTTTGACTCAGTCGCATCAAACTTGGTCATGATGCTTGTTTAAGACATTGCTTGGATGCGGTTGTGTCAGGTGAGCGATCCAGGGCCATCATGGCCCTCTTGTTTAAATAAGGGATTTCATCATAAAATGATAAAAACATAAGCAGCCAACCCATTTTTGTTGAGACTCTTTGCTAGAGGTTAAGCCAGGGTGGCAAAATTGTCTGTATTGGCCAGGTTGTCCCACAGCTTGTACGGACAAGTGGATAGTTTTTTTCAGTGTAAATCAGACAAGTAAGTCAAAATCAGATTTTGCCAATCCTGAATTTAGGGATTCTCAAATGTTTTGGAACTAATGTCAACTTTAACAATACAGTGTGTTGCAAGCTAGAATAAGAATTGTAGCGTAATTGCTAAGATCAGACTAAGAGGTCAAAGGAAAAATAATGAGTGTACATTAACTGGTCTGTCCTGTAAGTTGGGAGAAGGCGTAAAATGAAACAAACAAACAAACAAACAAGTTAGCCATGAATGAAGGCATTCTGAAATAACTAAAATATCAACCCTGATGAAACTTTGTCACACATATTGGATGACAAATACTAGTATCAACAATACACTAATACAGTTTGTACATGTATATTAATAATGACTTATAATTACTTGGCTGTAATTCACTGTCATACCTGTTCTAATGATTTCTGTAAAATACATGCTCTGTGCATACAATTATGATATGTTTTGTTTAAAATGCCTTTTTATGATTTTTTTTGAACATTTTTTGTCATCACTGGTACGAAATATGTCAAATATATATTGACAATGGAGACCTCTGTACATACATTATGTTTTGCTTGAATTTTTCATAGTTTCTAGACATTTAATTAATTTGTCAAAATTATATTTTTTTCCAAATGTGTATCAATTATTAATTGACAGAAAAATATTGAAGATACATCAATATTGTTTCTCTTGATGACACAAGAATGAACACCATATCTAATACCCAGTAGGTTATTCATAGGTCACTGTCAAATTTGAGAAAATTTTTGCTTGTCTGGGCAGTAATTTTGCTATTGGTTGAGTACAAATGTACAATGCTAGATGGGCATCATAAACAAAGACCTTATGTGAAATTCAAGTTGGTATCATTTAGTGTTGTCTTAACAATGGAGATAAAACTTTTGCCTGTAAGGTAATTCCTGTTATCAGAAGTGCATATACATGTAACTATAACGGGCAAAAAATACTTGTTAAGTTACCACAAAAGATTAGTTAATGTTTTATAATTTTATAATTTACAATATATGGTTTTTCTTTGTAAGTTATTTATAACCATGATACACCAGTATGAGTTTATTTCTAATAAGTTAGATATTGGTTATGTAACATTGCTGATATAATCTCATCATTTTTATAAGCAATAGTTCTGGCTTAGTTTTTAACACTGTTGCTGCATCTGTCTACCAGGTACACTGAAAACATAATGGACATTGTCACTTCAGTTACAAGTTTTTTTCCTTTGAATATTGTTGTTTTAGTACTGTAGCCCCTTCCAATTCTTGAGTATTAAAAAGTTGTTGAATGAATCATTTGTCCCTTACTACTAGAAGTTCTGATGATTAACTATGTAAATTTTGTAAGTCTTTTATGAGTGGAAGCTAAATTGTATACAGATAGCTTACAGAATGTTTTGTAATGATCCCTAATTCTCTTCTATTAAAAATACAGCAACAAAGGGCAAGACACTTGTATTACGACCTTTTCAAGTGATATTCTAGCCTATATTCTAGCCAAATAGCCTTAAAAATTGAATAGTTGGCAATGTATATAAATCTTCATATTTTTCAGATATATTGATGTTTGGTATGAGCAGATAATCTGGAATCCAAAGTTTTGTTCCATTTTTCAGATATCCTAGGAGATAGCCCTCAAATGCAAAGTTTTATTCCATTTTCAGATATCCTGATGTTTGGTATGAGGAGATAGCCTCGAATCCAAAGTTTTATTCCCTTGCAGCAACATACCATTGTTGGTATCATTTAGTGTTGTCTTAACATTATTTTGGCTTGATTGTGTGCATATACATGTAACTATAAAGGGCAAAAAATTAAACACAATAGATTAGTTAAATCCAAACTCAAGTTATAAACCATGAGGCACCAGTATGAGTTATTTCTAATAAGTTAGATATTGGTTATGTATGTAACATTGCTGATATAATCTCATCATTTTTATAAGCAATAGTTCTGGCTTAGTTTTTAACACTGTTGCTGCATCTGTCTAGTCACAGTATAACACCAGGTACACTGAAAACATAATGGACATTGACACTTCAGTTACAAGTTTTTTTCCTTTGAATATTGTTGTTTTAGTAGCCCCTTCCAATTCTTGAGTATTAAAAAGTTGTTGAATGAATCATTTGTCCCTTACTACTAGAAGTTCTGTTGATTAACTATGTAAATTTTGTAAGTCTTTTATGAGTGGAAGCTAAATTGTATACAGATAGCTTACAGAATGTTTTGTAATGATCCCTAATTCTCTTCTATTAAAAATACAGCAACAAAGGGCAAGACACTTGTATTACGACCTTTTCAAATGATATTCTAGCCTATATTCTAGCCAAATAGCCTTAAAAATTAAATAGTTGGCAATGTATATAAATCTTCATATTTTTTAGATATATTGATGTTTGGTATGAGCAGATAATCTGGAATCCAGAGTTTTGTTCCATTTTTCAGATATCCTAGGAGATAGCCCTCAAATGCAAAGTTTTATTCCATATTTCAGATATCCTGATGTTTGGTATGAGGAGATAGCCTCGAATCCAAAGTTTTATTCCCTTGCAGCAACATACCATTCCAACATTATTGGCTTGATTGTGTGTGAGATTAAACAGAAATCCAAACTCAATAAAGAGGCAAGTTATTGTTCCAACTAAATGAATGCCTTATTGTTGTGTCTGACTAATGGCTCATTTATTGAATTTTCAATTTATATTATTTGAATAATTTATCAATGACTGATTTATTTGATAATGATTTGTTATTATTATTTGTAGATGTAGATGTTAATTGTATAATATCAAAAGAAAGTCTGTAAAAAAAAATAAAAAAAATATTTGTTTATTATACCAGTTGTAAGGGGGGTATACTGGAATCAGCTTGTCCCTTAGGCTGTCTCCCTGTTCGGCTGTCTGTCGGTTTTTTCTTGTCCGCTATATAACTTAAGATTCCTTTCACCCACGGTCTTCAAATTTGGTATTGAGATTGGTCATGATTAGTAGATGACCACAATTGACTTTGAGGTCACCAGGTCAAAGGTCAAAGTCACTGGGTCATAGGTCAAGGTCACAGGGGCCTTGACTTTAAAAACTTGTTTGCCGACTCCCAATTACCTTAGAATCCTTTGACCCACAGTCTTTTAATTGGCATGGAGGTTAGTCATGGTCAACCCCTATTGATTTTGAGGTCACTGGGTCAAAGGTCAATGTCACAGGGGCCTTAATTTAAAAAAAAATGGTCCCCTCAAATGCTTAAAAATGGTTTGGTCAACAGTCTTCATATTTGGTATTGAGGTATGTTAGACTAATAGACGACCCCTATTGATTTTGAGTTCATTAGGTCAAAGGTCAAGGTCAGAAGAACTTTGACTAAAGAAAGCTTGTCCGCCCAATATCTTTAGATTCCTTTGACCCAATGTCTTCATATTTTGCATGGACTTTGGTCATAAACATAGAATGACCGCTATTGCTTTTGAGGTCACTGGGTCAAAGGTCAAGGTCACAGGGGCATTAAGTTCTAAAAGCTTGTCCGCTCAGTTGCTTAAGAATGCTTTTGTCAACAGTCTTCATATTTGGCATTAAGGTAGGTTATGACTAGTAGAAAACCCCGATTGATTTTAAGATGACTATGTCTGCTCAAATGTTTAAGAATGCCTGTCCACATTGTACTGGTTTAGACATTTTAACATTTGAAGCATCTAATTATGTTTTCATTAAACACCTTCAGGCAAAGATGCATGAATGGGGGGGGGATTATTCAAGTCATGCAGTGGCATTTTCAGTTTTGAGGTCAGTAGGTCTTTGCCACTCAAAACATGTAGAGTACATAACTTAGCACCTCGCAATGCACTGGCCTACTACCCTCAGATTTGGCAGGGTGGTTTTCCTTGAGCTCTAAATTGCCACTGTTGATTCTGACAAAGTGGTATGCAGGGGTATTCATGCCATGACAGTGGCAGTTCTAGTTTTTAAAGTGTCAAGAATCATTTGGAAGTATTTTGTCTTTTAACAGATAAAGAAAAGTAAAAAATTCAGGTTCATGTAAGTCTTATGAAACTATGGATTTGTTGAGAGTTCAAGAATATTTGTTGGGGATGATTATCTAAGTATTTTAAACCCATTACCTGCTGGAACCAAAAGTACAGAGCCAGGCCAGTCTGTTACCATGATCATATAGAGCCAGGCATGTCTTTTGGCAGACTTACTTTAAATTTTCATCTTGATATTCCCAACATTGATAATGGGCAGTTCCAGGAAGTTTGTCCAGTCCATTTAAAAATTCTGTAGCTTAGGCGTTTAAGTTGGTCCTATTCTGTAAAATTTGGCACTCATTTTATTAATTTTCCAAAAGCTGAAATCTAAAAATTAAAGCCCATAAACATGTCATTAGATAAGAACCCATATAAGCTATGCAAACAAAGTTTAATATATGTTTCAGCATGTTGTGTAAGGAGAAATTATTTTCCCTTTTAGGATGCAGATATTTTGGCTCCGTCATTTGCGAGTACATCACAGGTGGCTTATATTCTAAGTCTTGGTGTTGTCATAGACTTCAGAAATCATGGTATAGGTGAGTTGAGTATCAATTAAAGTCAATTAATTAATTTGGCCAAAAAATTGGCATAAAAAGATTGTCAGTAATATCTTCTCCATTGTTTTGTAGGTACTAATTTACTTATGTACTAAAGTATTAATTTACTTAATATACTGTACACTTTACATTAATTTCACTAATATTCTGTGGGGTGTCTGTGGCAGAGTGGTTAAGGTCGTTGACTTCAAACCACTTGCCCCTCACCACTGTGGGTTAGAATCCCGACAGGGACTTTGAATTCTTTCATGTAAGGAAGCTATCCAGCTAGCTTATGGAACGTCAATGGTTCTACTCGGGGTACCTGCTTATGCCTGAAATAATGCACAGAAGGGCACCTGAGGCCTTCCTCCATCAGTAAAGCTGGAATGTCGCCATATGACCTATACTGTGTCAGTGTGACTTAAAACCCAATAAAACAAACAAACAAACACTAATGTTCTGCGTATCGATTCCTTATCTAATTCATAGTTATTGCGATTTAATAAGTAAGCCAGAAATTGCAGTATCATATGTTATTCAGCAACACTTTCAATTTTGAAAATGATAATGACCCATACAGATGAGTATGCAAATTAAAAATATACACTGTTTTGGACCAATAACGCAAAATTTTGCCAATGCAAATATGATATATATATATATATGTGTGTGTATATGATTTTAATTCAGTATATGCATGTTTGATTATTGTAAGTTAAAAAAAAAATATGCTGCTATCTTGTCATTTATGGAAGTGATTACTTAATATGATTTTTGAGAAGGATTTTTTGTGTTTCCTTCTCCTGAGTAATGGATTCAAACTAAGATGTGGGAACTTTTGTAAAAATGCATGAATAAATAGAGGATATTTAAGTTTTTTCTATAAATACAGGATTTATTTTTATCGAGTTGTGTAAAAACTAAATATTTCATGAGTAGAGGTAGCACCAGTGAAAATACAGCCAATATGTTTCATTCACTACAGTGAAAAATAAATTTTTACTGTAAAAATACGGAAAACAAAAATACGCATTTTAATTTCATCAATATTTCTCAATATTTCATTTATAAGTGTATTATAAATTTCTTTATTTTTCAGGTTCACTATTATTAGATAGTTTATTATCATATTTGACAACAAAAGAGCGATGTAACTGTAAAGCCGCCTACCTCCATGTATTATCTACAAATCAAACAGCGATAAGATTTTATGAGCGCCGTAACTTTGGTGCACATAGTTATCTCCCCTATTACTACTCAATACAGGGAAAACCAAGGGATGGATATTCATATGTGCTATATATTAATGGAGGAAAACCACCATGGTCCTTATTATATCCTTTTGCTATGTGTGTTTTCTTTACTGGTGTTTGTATTTGTTTCTTACTTAAGGTGTCAATGCTTTGTCAAATGTTGTTTCACTATTCAACAAAAATGTTAAAATACACATTTATTTGAAAGCATTATTAAACAAGTTCAATGTAAGATTAGGAGTTGAATTCCAAATTTATTTTTAGAATTTAATTAAGATTTTGAACAGAAAAATAAATGCATGTAGTTGCAGTTGTCAGCCTGTGTCAGAAGTGGCATATTGATGTATGTTAAGATTGTTTAGCCATCAATAGATTTGTTCGAGATGAATTTATTTTAGCTTGATGGTAATGAAAGCTTGAACCTTATTTAAACAGGGCTTGAGACTAACCTGGTACAGCACTTAGGTTAGGGTTTAATGCAATAATCAAGGGGTCGAGAGGCAGTCACCTTGACCACAAAAACATCTTCTCTCATCTCGTCTCCATCTTGTGCCAGTATTATTTCAATGTAGGCTTACCGTCAATGATGTTGTTAAGTTTGAAAGAGATTTTCAGATATAAAATTTCAAGATGTATAACTTCTTTGGTCATAGTCTTTGGCTATAGTAATTTATCTGACAGAAAGCAATATCAGTATTAGATTTTTCTCACTTATTTTGGAGAGGCCTCTTGATTTTGGGAAAATATACATGTATTGCTTAAGTTGCTTATTTGGGAAGTAAAACAGCTGCTGTAAGTTTAGATTTTTAAGAAACTGCTTGATTTTAAAGAAAATTTTGATTGAGAAGAAGGAAGAAGCCTTTTTATAGGCCTCTGTTATATAAGTTGAGAAATCACTGTGACTTTTAAGTTAAAGCTTTGTATATTTACCTTAACATAAATTCACTGACTACATGAGTCATTGTGGTTCCCTGTTAACAAAACTTCAGCCGTGTGCGTTACCACGTCAGATCATGCGGACTGTCAGACGATGTTTTTGCCGTATTCTCAGTGCAGGTAGCAGCGATACTACAAACAGCTATGTCTCGTGAAACGATCGACAATTCTATAAATCAGCAGATTGAACAAGAGTTTTTACATATAGCAACTGATACTGTCAACAATTTTATATTTTCTTTATTACACTGATTTATAAGTTTATAGCATTTGAATAAATATGCTTTATATGAATTGAAAATATTTATGTTGAAGATTATAGGTATATATTTCAAAGCCGTCCTTTGAATGATTCAAGGAGTATTTGTGCACTTGGCATAACAGAGATGCTTTTGAATATGATATACTTATTACAGGAAAATTGTGCATTTTATACAAAAATTAAGATTCTGCAATCCATGTCAACTGATATTATTGTTTTAAAGGATAAAACACACTAGATTACAGGTAGAAATTCTATATTTTTCCACCAATTATGATTATAGGACATTATGTGGCATCCAAGATTTTCATGTTTATATAAAACATGTAATTTTTTGTATTTGTAGGTAAATGAAGCTAGAACTTTTGAAGCTTTTTGTTTCAACATAGAATTTTAAGTTCAAGATTTATCTAACAAATGATAAGAGTATTGATTACAAAAGACAATTTTCTTTTCATTAATAGTATTGACACTTAAAGTGTATAACTTGAATATATATTTGAAGACATGTATTTAAGAATTTAATAAATGAAAGAACTTAATCTGACAGGATGAAAATTGATAATTAAACTAACATGTGTTTATAATTATTAATAATAATTGCATTTAATGTTTTGAAAAAGACTGTAACAAAGCTCAGTTAGTTATATTCTATGACTAGAAGAGAATTGTACATATACATATATAGTATAAACAGACAATTTAGTAAATAGTATTTATTTTCCTGATTATGAATGTTAAGCATAGATCCAAAGATGTAACATAATTTCATATCTAATTCAGAAATATATTTTATTCCTGATCCATGGATAAGATGTACAACCAAACCTGCAGTTTATCACCACCATACACTGCTATACTTATAATGTGCAAAGAATTGTTTTTCATCTACTGATGTTGTTATATTAATTTATTATTAATTAATCATTGAGATACAGTAGCACAGTTTTCCTGCGGTATAAAAGAACGCTTTTTTTTTCAAATGAATGTGTCTGTTCGGTTGAAACTGCCATCTTGTTACTAGTCCATCGCTCTCATGAAATAATGTCCCATTTTGGTCCAGTTACTCTGATCATTGTCCAAAGCAATATTGAATCTGGTACTGGCTAGTGAACTTTTTTTATACATGTTGAATATTAACTTTATATCATATATCCACTAACATAGTTTTAGAAGATACCCTTAAGGGATAGTGAAAAATATTGTTGTTTTTAAAAAAAGAGTACAGTGTTAAGAAATAATGATGTGAGTTTCAAATGAATCTGATTGGTTAGTAATTCTGCAAATTAACCAAATTGAATGACATATCTGCATTTAGTGACAGGAATCCATCAAATATGGAATGTGTATTTTTTCTTATATAGTGTGCCAACTATTTGTAATTGGGAAAATGTACTGTATGTAAAGAATTCCCAGACATATTGTAAATTTTTATTATTGCAGTATTATTAAAAAAAAGTAATTTTTAATTCATGTGCTAATATTGATTTGTGCCAATACCTGATTAAAGAGCCATCCAAATGTCATCTCATTTACTTGAAATGAAATCTTGTTGTTAAAGAAAAAAAACATGTTTTGTCATATTTGCAATTTTAATTGATTTTATTGGGTTGATACCCTAAAATAATGATGTACATGTAGACGGAGACTCTAAAGTAGATCTAGAGTGTGATCAATTTTTAGCACCATTCATTTACAAATGAACTTCCATTTTAGAATTTCAGTGAGTGTAGGCATTGCATCATGGGCTGTTTTATTCACATGTTTTATATTGTTAAAAAATATATTTAAATCGGTAATTGAAAAGACATTCTAGAAACATTAAAATTTTTTTACAAAAAAAATAAATAAAAAATAGTCTATTAACTCTTAAAATCTTGCTACGAGTTAATGATAAGATTTTACACATGTCACACTTACCCATTGGAAGATGATTAATTGCCTTCTAATTTTTTCTACCTGTTTTGTATGAATTCATGTATCTGCACATTATACTGTAATCATTTATCATTATCACAACATTAAACATACATGTTGAGAACAACAATATTTGTCTTTCACCACGGTTTGAAATCCTCAGTATAACTTTATACTTACAGATTCTGGCTGATATGTACATGTATTACTTACTTGAAATCTGTTTCTTGGTTACCAAGTTATTCTTTGTCCAAGAAAACATTATTTATTGCATGTGCCAAGTTTAAGATTTATTTTCCCCTTTACTGCATGTGTACAATGTTGATATTTCGTATCTGAATCATGAAATGTTTAATTTGGAATTGTATATTGGAATTATGACATTATAATGACAGAAAAAAGAAAGTATAAAAACTCAATCATGAAATACATTAGCAGAATTGACCAGTAATGTTAGCCGAATAACGAATGTTGAGCAAATTACTCAGTAATGTTAGCAGAATTACTCAGTAATGTTAGCCAAATTACTCAGTAATATTAGCAGAATTACTCAGTAATGTTAGCAGAATTACTCAGTAATGTTAGCAGAACTACTCAGTAATGTTAGCAGAATTACTCAGTAATGTTAGCAGAATTACTTAGTAATGTTAGCCAAATTACTCAGTAATGTTAGCAGAATTACTCAGTAATGTTAGTAGAATTACTCAGTAATGTTAGCCAAATTACTCAGTAATGTTAGCCAAATTACTCAGTAATGTTAGCCAAATTACTCAGTAATGTTAGCAGAATTACTCAGTAATGTTAGCCGAATTACTCAGTAATGTTAGCCAAATTACTCAGTAATGTAAGCCAAATTACTCAATAATGTAAGCAGAATTACTCAGTAATGTTAGTAAAATTACTCGGGTAATGTAAGTAAAATTACTTAGTAATGTTAGCCATATTACTCAGTAATGTTAGCCAAATTACTCAGTTATGTTAGTAAAATGACTCTGGTAATGCAAGTAAAATAACTCAGTAATGGTAGCAAAATTACTCAGTAATGATAGTAAAATTACTCAATTATGAATCATGGCAGTCCTGCTACTAAATAATGGCAATGCAATTTAATTAACCAAATAAGATTAAAGTACCTCTACATTGCAAATTTTAAATATTGTTACTAGATATTACCAAGGGTATAAGTCTTGTCTGTTGTTATGAAACTTATTGTACAAGAATCAATCATAATTATGAATTGATGATATATCAGATTGTTAAGAGTGTATTTATGTATATTTATTTATGTATATAGAAATATGTGTGGTTGGAATATTTTATTTATTAGAAGTGTGTATGTAAGTTAAATGTAAACCATCCATCAGCAGCTTGTTAAAACATGGCTTGTTTTGTCACATTCTGTTTGTTATATAGGTCAATCAAATATAAACATGTACAGGAGTAGTACTAAATCATGGATGGAACCCACGGTACACATTCTGTTTATACTAAATTTAATACTGGTACACAGTAAATAGCCTGAGTTACCAAGGATGCACTAAATAAGCATCAACATTCTCAGGATTTGCACTGAAATCTTGTCTATTCTCTACAGACTAAATTATTATCCAATACACAGAGTAATGATACTGGCTTTATTTAAGCAAGCTGATGTTGAAGGGATTACTTTTAGATAAATAACTGGCATTTACACCTTATAAATGTTATATTTTAATATATTTATGTATATACAACTGAACTTGCATTGTTGGGTCCCTTGAATGGGTAGATAGTAGCTTGGTGTGCTTGTTTGTCTTTCTAGAAATAAGTTTAAATAGTTATATGACAACAGATTACAGTAAATCTCCATAAAACGATGTTTTCGTGTGTCTTGGAGAGAGAGAGTAATGAAATTTGAGTTTTCCACATTATAATTGATTTATAAACATATCTGTCCATGTGTTTGTCTTCACTTTTATTGTGCTCTTTCTCACCAAACTGCAGAACTATTCAACTTTTCTAATATAATTCAAGAGAGGCTTTAAACTTTTACATTTATAGGTACTTAAGAGAATATTGGTATTTTTACTGTTATGCAAAAAAATCTTTAATCAAGTTTTTTGATAGCAAAACCTTATAATGGTAACACAAAAACTGTTGGTTTCTCCTCTTAGGTTTATCAAGAATTTTAGATATTTGAATTGATGATAGTAACTTAGAGAATTCGATTAATTTACTAGGTTTTAAAAACCTTAACATGCAATAACTTTTAATAATCTTGGTTAATAAAAAATTTTCTTTCCTATCTTGTTTCAGAAGGAATTGTTTAAAATCTTTAGATTGCCAGAATTATAGTATTAAGTAATCTTAACAATCATGGATTAAATAAAGTTGGGGTTAATTTAAAATATTTGTGTTTTCAGAAAATGTAAAATTTGAGTTTATTGTTGTAATCATATTAATAAAATTGTACAATATAGTGAAGAATTACAATAAGAGGACAAAGTATATTTATAATTATATTTATTATTTTAATGTACAGTGTGTATATATATAGATTTTGATTAGTGAATATTTATTCCACTTTTTAAAGGTGTTTTTTTTGCTCACCAGAGCATAAAGTGCTCTTGGCGAGCTTTTGTGATAACTCTCTGTCCGTTGTTCATTTTTGTGGGCTGAGTGTCCTCAATAATAACTTTAAACCACATCTCCTCTTAAACTAACTGCTGTATTTTGATTAAACTTCACAGGCATGATCCTTGTGTGGTCCCCTTCCAAAGTTGTTCAAATGTTTCAGGTTGGTTATATAAGAAGGTCACAGAGCTAAAATGGGGATTTGAAAAATGTTAATTTTAAAAGTATTCTTGTTTGAATTTACAAGGCTTAGAGCTTTGATATTTGGTATGTAACATCATCTAGAGGTCTTCTATCATATTTTTTTTCAAATTATGGGTCTGGGGTCAGAATTGGCCCTGCCCTCAGGGGTCATGGATTTCTTTGTATGGTAAAATCTTAAAATCCTTTTCACAGAAACTAACAAGGGTTAGAGCTTAGATTCTTGGCATGGACATCATCTAGTGGATATCTGACAATATTGTTCATATAATGACTGTATGGTCACTATTTGACTGCTGGGAGAGGGGGGAGATGAGGGTCATGTGTGTACCAAACATTTATATATTCCAGCATTGAAAAATTTTCTTCCCTGAATCCCAAAGGGCTCAAGGTTTAAACATCTTTTAGTGGACTTCTACCAAGATTTTTCAAACTACAGATCGTGTGTGAAAATTGGCCCTACCCAGGGTGGGGATAGGTGGTTGAATTGGGGACGGGAATTGGCTTTGTGCTTTTCTTATTAGTACATGTATAGTAAAACATTCAAAATTCTTCTTTTCTGAAACCCAAAAGGCTAGAACCCTTTGGTACATTTCTTAGATATGTTTCAAAGGGTGGTTATGACTAGTAGATGCCTACTTATGATTTTACACCAGAATCAATATCTCAGGTGTGCGGCATAGCCCAATTGTTGTGTGTTAGTGACTGTTTGTTAAGTCAAAAATAATTTAAGTATGCATTGACTTTGAAGTAGAAACTGTTTGTTAAGTCTGTAATAAATCAGTTATTTAAGTATGAATTGTCTTTGAAGTGCAAAACTGTATGTTGAGTTGTTAAACATTTAAGAGTTGCATTAACTTTAACATTACTTATTGTTTAGTCAGGAATAATTCAATGTTTCAAGTACACATTGGCTTTAAAATAATAACAGTTTGTTAAGTTGGAATTAATTCAAAATGTTTCATTATGCCTATGTTTTGAGATGTCCGTTATGCATAGGTGTCCAAGTATATCTGAGAATTTTATATGTCTTTTGAATTGTTTGGAATCAAAATGAAAATTTTTTAAATTGCATTTATTGCCATGGTGAAATCAAACTTGAAATTAGTCATCCATGAAATATGTGTATCATTTTTGCATTAAGGTACCTTTGTGATAATTCTCACAGGTCCTTCAGATTGTCTTTTATTATCACTTAATGTAAAAGAGTGTGTGATTTTGAAACTTCTTGGCTTATTAGATTTTCTCGTGAAAACTTATCATAATATTCAAATAACCTGTTTTATTTGTGTAATTCATAGAGTATCAGCATTTTTTTAACAATAATATTTCAGTGTTTTAATGTTTTAGGAATCTCAAGTATAAATCCAATGTATATGTGCTGTTGTACATCATATGTGTAAAGTTTGTATACCATACAATTCATAACATGGAACACATAATTGTATCACTTAAAGTAAATCTTTACACTTCAACTTGATAATTAAAGTCTTTAAAGATAGGTCAAGAATTTGTGACAGTACCTTTATTATACATATAGATAAGTTTGCTCTTTCAACAATTTGCTTACTTCTGTGTAAAAGAACAGTTTGTGAAGTTTTTATCCATGATAATAATATTAATGAATAATTTGAAAATTTTCTTTCTTTTCATACTTAATGTAAAGCTGATTGGTAAACTAACTGATACAGTGTAGGTGTCCTGTACTAAGATATTTCCACTGACTTAGTTAATAACTCTGTTATAGTGTATTTGTTTCTAAAACAAAACATCTATATTGGTCAATAAAACAAGGATTAAATCTCTGCAAGGTGTTAATTATTAAAAGTTCTTTAAACATTGACTTCTCAGAAAACACATCACATGCATTTTGTTTTTGTAATTTGATGCATTTTCAGGTAAAACTAATTATAAAATTAATATTCAGGCAATTTTAATGGATTTTATTTAAAATTATAGAAATTTCAATTGCATGTAAATGTTATAATTACAATGTGATGAATTTGATGGTATATTTTGATCTGAGTTTACATATAAACATGTGCTACTGGATGAGAATGATAGTTACTTAGCTTGTTTTTTTAGATGTTTTTGCT